AGACAGCGCAGAAAGTGGGGAGAGGACGGGGAAGGCGAATCAGAGGCGCGCAGAGAGGCGGGAGGGTGCAAGGTGACAGTGAGATGCGGGCAGGGAGGCGGAAGGGCAGAGATGGGGATCCTAGAGGGGTGTGGGGTCTTTCGAAGGGGTGCAGAGGGGACCTAGGAGCACTGTGAGGACGGTGACAGAGGGCACCGTGTGGAGGGAGGTGAAGGTGCGGAGGGCGCGCAGAGCGGGTGCTGGTGGAGCAGGGCAAGGAGGGAAGAGGAGGACAGGATGGTGGGGAGAGAGGGAGGAGTCCGAGGTGTGGCAGGAGGAGGGGCGTAGCCGTCTGGGATAAATAGCCCAAGAGAGCCTGGTCTGGCACTGGCAGAGGGTCTGCGCACCTCTCCCGAGCCGGCAGGGGGCTGCTGTTTCCATCCTGACCCGCTTCTCTAGGAGGCTGGTGAGTCCTGGGCCCTGAGGACGCTCTCCCAGCCGTCGGAGCGCGCTGGAGTTAAAAGTGGGACTCAGATTGAGGCTGCAACCTTGACCAGCGTCCCTAAGACCCTCTCGTCCCAGGTCACCACGGAGACCGCAGCTGTAGAGGTCTAGCTCTAAAGGCTGGCAGCGCTGGACTTTGCTACCACCCCAGCCCCAGAGATGGGGAGGAAGGGTGACCAGTTCATGCCTGTGGCCCAGTCCCCTCTCCACCTTCCAGAAATGGAAAATGCTGGGGGTCGAGAGCCAGAGCCTTTTGTTCTCCTCTTAGATGTGGCCAGTGACTCCTTAAGTGACTTTGGATGAGTTCCACTCCTCACTGGGCCTTCACCTCCCCTCCCACCTGCAAAGTGAGAGGGGTCCTTGGGTGGGTCTCCCTAAGATTCAAACAGAACAGCTTCCTTTTTTCTATCCTCACCCGAGGACATTTTTCCAATGTTTGTTCAGGTAGAGTGGGAGGAAGAGAGACGAACAGAGAGAGAGAAACATCCATGTGAGAGAGACACATCGAGTGGTCGAGTGGTTGCCACCAACACGAACCCAACCGGGGCCGGGAACAAACTGCAACAGTGGTAGGTGCCCTTAGCAGGAACTGAACCCGGGTCTCTCTGGTCTGTGGGCTGACACTCTAACGTCTGAGCAAAACCTGCCAAGGCAATGGTGCATGCGTGCCTGTGTGCCTCTGTGTGTCCGTGTGTCTTTTAATTCAAGTATGTCTAAGCAGTGAAAAGGAGCAATGGCTATAGAGTCTAGAAGTTTGGGTTCTAGTCCTGGCTATGCTGCTGACTCACTGTGATCTTAGGGAAGTGTCTGTTCCTCTCTGGCTTACTCTTCCCTGCTGAGCGGCCACAAGTTGTGGCAGATGATCTGCAAGGACCCTTGTGCCTTTGGCATGGCTAACAATAGGAATAGTAATTGTTTCCTTACCTTGACCTACAAAGCCCTGCCTGAACTGGCCCCTATCTACCCCAAATACCAGAATCCTTGCCCTCCCTCAGGACCTTTGCATTTGCTGTTTCCAGTGCCAGGAACACTTAACCACCTCTCTTTCCTGCAGAGTTGTTCTTTAGATCCTCCACTGAAACTTCCCTTGCCTAGGAGGTTCCCTGACAAATACTAGATTGGGTCCTTGGATTTGTAACCTCATGATTTATGCTGTATTCATTAAGCTTAAGTGTTTGTGTAGTTCTTTGTCTAATATATGCATACCCTATTATTCTAATATCTGTATATTCTGTATACAGTACTGTGTTATTTATTTATTTTTAAATTTTTCTTTCTTTTTTGATTTTAGAGAGAGACAGGAAAGGAGAGGGAGAGGGAAATAGAAACATCAATGAGGGAGAATATTGATGGGCCGCCTCCTGCATGCCCCCCACTGGGGATTTGGTCCACAAACTGGGCATGTGACCTGACTGGGATTCGAACTGGCAACCTCTAGGTGTGTGGGTCAACGCTCAACCACTGAGCCACACTGGTCAGGCTGTATACCCTATTATTTAATGCCTGTCAATGCCATGAAGGCTGGAACCTTGTCCTGTTCCCAGCACCTAGCTCATAACTGGTGTTCAGAAATTTGTTGTGCAGGGAAGAAATAATCTCATTTAATCCAACAATCTTGTGAGTTTGGGTCCTTGCATTCTTAAACATGAAGAGACAGGACTTCAGAGAGAGACACTCCCAGGGTCACACACTGAGTTGGCAGCATCAGAATTTGAACCCAGTCTGTATGACTCTAAAGCCTGAACTTTCACTGTACTTGCTCTTTCATTCCAGGATCTTCTGCTGTGAAACATTAACCAAGTGCCAGAAATTCTGACCCAGGAGGCCTGGAAAGAGACAACCATTAGGTTGTGGAGGTGTGTCTCGTCCAACTCGTTTCTTCTTGGCCCTTGGAACCTAAGGTAGACCTGGAGTAGACTTGGCCTCCTGCTGCGGATCCATGGCTCACCGGCTTCAGATACGGCTGCTGACATGGGACGTGAAGGACACACTGCTCAAGCTTCACCACTCCATGGGAGAGGAATATGCCTCCACAGCCCAGGCCCATGGGCTGGAGGCAGAGGCCCCAGTCCTGGAGCAAGCCTTCAGGCAGGTGTTCAGGGCTCAAAGCCGCAACGTCCCCAACTATGGCCTGAGCCATGGCCTCACCACCCGCCAGTGGTGGCAGGATGTGGTCCTGCAGACCTTCCACCTGGCGGGTGTTCGGGATGCCCAGGCTGTGGCCCCCATCGCTGACCAGCTGTACAAAAGCTTCATCAGCCCCGGCACCTGGCAGTTGTTGGAGGGAGCTCAGGACACCCTGCAGGAGTGCCGAAAACGAGGTCTGAGGCAGGCAGTGATCTCTAACTTTGACCACCGGCTAGAGGAAGTCCTGGTGGGTCTTGGGCTGCGGGAACATTTCGACTTTGTGCTGACCTCTGAGGCTAGTGGCTGGTGCAAGCCAGACCCTCGCATTTTCCACAAGGCCTTGCAGCTAGCTCATGTAGAACCGGCAGTGGTAGCCCATATTGGGGACAGTTACCACCATGATTATAAGGGGGCACGGGCTGTAGGCATGCACAGCTTTCTAGTGGTTGGTCCAGGGCCTTTGGACCCTGTGGTCAAAGATTCTGTACCCCAAGAACATATTCTCCCCTCACTGCCCCATCTCCTACCTGCCCTTGACCGCCTGGAGGCCTCGCTCACAGGGCTGTGAGTCTGGTGAGGGAAGTGGCTGGGCCCAACAAACACTGCAGACAGGGAGCCCTTTCCTTCCCAAGATCTGGCCTTTACCCCTCCCTGCAGCCTCCGTGATGCCTTCTGACTATAGAGCAGAGTGTGAGGCTTTCAGCCCTGCCCCACTAACCAGTCCTGGTCTGAGACGGTTCATTCATCACGCCTGGGTCCCCTTCGCACAATCCCCTCACCTCCAACAAGGTTCACTAAGGGCCCAACTAGCTTCCAAACCAGGTACTTTGAAACTTTGCTTTACCAGCAGGGCTTTTGATCTTATGTGGAACCCCAATATGCAAAATAGGAGAAAAGGAGAGACTGCTAGGGTTGAAGCAGAGGTTCTGGGGCCCCTCATTCAGGCCCTGAAGCCTCTGTAACTCTCCCCTCACCCCACAAAGCTTGAGGTCAGAGTTGAGTTGGAAAATCAGGGTGCTGCACCGCCCGTATGGCTCAGTGGATTGAATGTCGTCCCATGGACTGAGAGATCCCAGTTTGATTCCCGGTCAGGGCACTTGCCAGGGTTGCAGTCTCGATCCCCAGTACGCGGCATGCAGGAGGCAGCTGTTGGATGTTTCTCCTTTACATGGATGTTTTTATCTCTCTCTTACTTCCTCTCTCTCTCTCTAAAAAATCAATAAAAATCTATTAAACAGAAAATCGGTGTGCTACGTTGTGCTTAAGTTTATGTCTCCTATGACCACATAGTCTAAACAGGAGATTTTAGACAAGGAACAACATCATTGCAGTCATGAGAAGAAACTTGATTTTCCCTCCCCTGTGTTAGATACTCCAGTATCTAGTCCTTTATATGCATGTAGAACCCTCACAGCTATCTTTGGCCATAGGTAGTGTGACCTCCACTTTACAAGGGATTCAGAGGTAAAATAGCCTGCCTGAGGTCACAGCTAGAACATGAAGGAGCCAGAATTCCAATTTAGGCACGCCTGACTCCAAAGTCCATTGGCTTCACCACTAGGTTGCAAGTAGAGAGGGATCCATGTCACATGAGACATAGTGCATTGGAGCTCCTGGAAGAATAGGAACGTGTCCTAAAGGATGTCAGTCTTGAAAGACACCCCTGTCATAGGGGCTATTGTGGGGTAGGAAAGTGCAGGGAACAGGGACAAGTCCGAGGCGGCAGAGGTTTAAGTGTGGGGAGAATCACTGGAGATTGAAGAAGTAGGTTGGGTTTTTTAATTGCAAGTCTCTTCCTGCCTCTCCCTTCTTCACATATCCACTTGGTATTTACCTCAGGGCTCAAGCCAGTGCCAAGCACAGGGCACATCACAGATGAAAAGCACGTAGAGAGGAACATGCACATTATGTTCTGGTGCCAACAGCCAGGGAGAACTTCTAATCATCAGATAACAACAGATGAAATCAAACTGAGGAATGTTCTGTAAAACAACTGTCCTAGACTCACTAAAAATGTTTTAAAAAATGCCTAAGAACCCTGGAGAGTTTGGCTCAGCGGTTAGAGTGTCGGCCTGTGGTCTGGAGAGACCCGGGTTCGGTTCCCGCTAAGGGCAGTTACTTCAGCTACAGTTTGTACCCGGCCCTGGTTGGGTCGTGCGGGTGGCAACCTCTCGCTGTATCCCTTTCACATGGTGTTTCTCTCTTTCTCCCCCCCCCCCCCCACTCTATCTGAACAAAAAATGGAAAAATGTCCTCGGGTGAGGGAAAAAAAAATGAGTAAGAAACAAGTTCCAGCTTAAAAGACACCAGTTGGATCAGGAAAACAAACAACAATAACACCAAACACAGTTAAGAACTTTTTTGGCTCAGTTGGCAACACTTGAATATGGGCTATATATTAGATAATAGTATTAGATCAACATTAAATTTCTGAGCTTGATCATTATGTTGTGGTTATGTAAGAGAGTGTCTTTGTTCTTGGAGACGAATGCAGTTAGATCGTCGGTCCCTGGACCAAAAGGTCACGGGTTCGATTCTGATCAAGGGCACATACCTGGGTTGCAGGTTCAATGCCCTGCCCTGGCCGGGGTTGTGCGGGAGGCAACCATTCCATGTGTCTCTCTCACATCAATGTTTCTGTCTCTCCTGCTCCCTCTCTCCCTCCCTCCCTCCCTTCTACTCTCTCCTCTCCTCGGGTGAGGATTAACAAAACAAAATAAAAAGTAGACATATACAATCAGCCCTCATTTGTCATGGTTAATCAGTTTCAGACTCTACCAATATAAATGAATTTCCAGCAAGTAGGATTCTTTATTTATCAATTGAACATTTTCACAATTAGAGCATAGAAAACCTGTTTACGACCTTCTAAGTACATTTTTTAACATTATTAGAGCCCTCTGAACATGAAATAACACCCTTTAGTCACCATGACACTCGCATTACCCAATATATTAGAGAAAATAAGACATATTAGACGCTACAAATATCATATTATTATTGTGCATTTAATTACACACACACCGTTCTTACACACAACCACTAACCTATGAAAACAGTGCAACTTATTGGATGATGAAGTGATGAAGGTGAGAGACATACTGCACAGCAAAGAAGAGCAAGGTCCCTGCTCCTCTGCAGGCACGGCCTCAGAAGGAGAGTCTTCAGGTGGGGCAGTATCTTCAGCAGGTGCGTTGTCGTCTTCTTCCACTGAAGGAGCTCTAGGAGTAGGCAGTGGGTGTCTGGGTGCGAGGCTGAAGAACATTGTGATAGGCAGTTGCTGGCGCTGTCTTTTCATATGCGTGAGGAGGCTTCTGTAGGGTTCTATCGCCCCATCAAGCACATTCTGGAACCACAATACACGCATCATTTGTGGGTCCGGTTTGCCAACCATGTCCTGCTTTAACAGTTCTCGCGACTTGTGAGAGATGCTCAAGTGTAAGGCCAACTTCCTCCTCCTCACCCCCAGGAACCTCGGCTGCTCTTCCTCCTCCTGATTCTCAGACTTAGTCATCTCCACCAGATCCTCATCAGTTAAGGGATCCGAATATGTCTCCAGCAGCTCCTCCACGTCATCACGGGTCATATCCACGAAACCTTCTCCTCCCAGCGTCTGGGCTAGCCTAACTGCCTTATCCACTGCTGAGTTGCTTATATCCTCTGCAGTGAATCCTCTGTAGTCGTGGACAATTTCAGGCCACAACATCTTCCAGCTGGCCTTCACAGTCTTCCCCCCCCCCTTTTTTTCCCCTTTATTGATTTTAGAGAGAGAGGAAGGAAGAGGGAGAGAGAGAAACATCGTTGTGAGAGAGACACATCGAGTGGTTGCCACCGACACGACCCCAACTGGGGCCGGGGACTGCAACTGAGGTGCATGCCCTTAGCAGGAACTGAACCCGGGTCTCTCTGGTCCACGGGCCAATGCTCTAACCACTGAGCCAAACAGGCCATGGCCAGTCTCCGTCTTTATGTCCTTCAATGTGGCCTGGATGTTCTTCAGACAGGTCACGATGGTATACTGCTGTCAGTACTCCTTCAGCAAGAAGTTCTCCTCAAGGTCCACGCCTTCGACGAGGTGCTACAGGATGTTACATGTGTAGAGGGCCTTGAACACGCGAATAGCGCCTTGATCCATGGGCTGGATCAGCGAAGTGGTGTTGGAAGGAAGTAACGCGACCATCGTAGGATAGTCTTGCACATGACCTCCAGCATTGTCCATGAGGAGAAAGAAGGACATTAAACTCCAGTTCCTTCTCCGCGAGATACAGCTTGACTTGGGGGAGGACACGCTCGTGGACCCAGTCCGATGACAGCTGCTTCGTGATCCAGCCCTTGTCGTTGTGCTTCCAATGCACTGGCAGCAGGTTCTTGTTCTTATTCTTCAGGGCCCTCGGGTTCTTGGCCTGGTCAATAAGGGCAGGCTTGAGCAAAGCCCCTCAGCATTTCCGCACAGAACGATAGTCACGCGATCCTTATGCGCCTTGAAGCCACAGACCTTGGCCTCATCCTTGAAAATGAATGTCTGGGAAGGCATTCTTTTCCAGAACAGTCCTATTTTGTCCATATTGAACACCTGTTCTGGATGATACTCGCCCTCCTCAAGGATCTTCTGGAACGTGTTGTTCACGTAGTCCTCTGCTGCAGGCTGGTCAGCAGAGGCAGCTTCTCCATGGAGAATGACACTCTTCAGATTATACCTCTTCTGGAACTTCTCGAACCAACCCTTACTCACCGTGAAATCCATGAATGATGCAGAAGAGGGTCCTGGTTGAGGTTCGTCCGCCGTAAAGCGCTGATAGACCGGCCTCGCCTTCACCCAGATGACCAGCGAATCCAACGGAATGTTTTCCTTGTGGCTATCACTGATCCCAACGGCTAGGGCAGACTCCGTTTTCACTATGAACTTACTACGATTTGTCACGATGCACCTTGCTTCCTTGTTGAGAGGACAATCGCCGTTGCACGGATGTTCTTTCCATCTTTATGGATGGAGCGAACGGTAGACTCATTCAAGTCGTAATGGTGGGCAACCTCTAGTATTTTCTTGTCATCTTTGATCATATCCAAGAGTTTCACCTTCTCCTGGATGGTAAGCATCTTCCTCCGGCCCTTAGTTTCATCGTCAGAAGGCTTAGAAGAAGCAGCACGTTTAGGAGCCATCGTGGGGCTTAGATAAACGTTCTCAGAAATCGCAAACACTTAAAAGAGCAGAGATGCTTCCCATGCCTAGCGATGCAGAAGCGTGTATGAGAGAAACGAACTTGCATGAGGTTGAGCCAATCAGCGGCCAGGACAGGAGAGGCTAGGATAGCCACTCAGTGAACAGCACGCTCTGATTGGCTTGGTTTCACCACACCCGATTTTTTGGAAAGAATTATTGCCCACACACAAGGAGTGGTCCATCGGTTGCACCTGGTGTTGAAGGATTCCTAGGGTGCTCAAATACATAGGCCTACAGTCCATATGTACAGTAATTTTAATTTTAAATGTTATACAGGGTGTCTAATTGACTCAGACAACGGAGCGCTCGCTGTATCATTTTCACTGTCTCAATCAACTTTTTAACCTGTTAACCGAGCGGGACATATAAATACCTCAAACGTTGCATACAGTAAAAAGGGAATTCCCGGTTAAAAGGTTAACGAATATATTTGAAAAACCGCGATAGAGTGAAGCCGCGAAAGTGGAAGCATGAAGTGGCGAGGGACGACTGTATAGAACTCTACATATTTTCTCAAGTGAATGTGAAACGTTTACCTAAATTGATCATATTTTAGGACATGAAGCAAGTCTCCACAAACTTTGAACAATTGATATCATACACATTACAATGAATTAAGTTAGAAATTAGTAAAAAAAACGATGATAATTTAAAAAGTAAAGCCATACATTAGGATATTTAAAAACCTATTTCTAGTAACTCATAGTGAATAAACAAATCACAGTGGAAATTTAAAAATACTTATAACTACCCTGGCTAGTTTGGCTCCGTGGTTAGAAATTC